AGTGTAATTCTTTTTCTTGTTCATGTTATTTCACTCGCTTTATTTGGAATATATATCGATGACGACCGAGTGGATGCATACGAATTTTATTAGATTTGAACTTGACTTACTCATATAATATGCGAATTCAAATAAAGTTCGTAACTAGAAATGGGTTCGAATTTTTTTTGAAAAACGAATTAGATTATATAAAGTTTGTAAATTATCGACCAACATCATACCCAATTATTGATAAAAGATATCTTATATATATTAATATATACATGTCATGTTAAAAATTAATAGTAGATTGTGTGTAAATCTCTTTTGGGATTGTTTGGAGACTTAAATAATACACATGCATATAAAAGGATGAGATACACATGTTGATGTAAATATAATTATGACCAGGAATATATGGTGAAAAGGTCATTTAAGTGATATGATTCAGAATTCAGAAAAGAAAATGAAATATTCCACTTTAGATTTTATACGATTATCAAAATCTCTTGGATTATATATAATTATTATGAAATATATATATATATATATATATTTTGTAGTCGTACGATAACTATATATATATAGGATTTGAACATGCGGGATGTTTTATAAATAGATAAATAAAATATGTAAAAAAAATAGTTACATATGGTTTTAACAAATTATTACAATTCAATAAAATTAAATAATTTAATGTATTAAAATAATTTTTAAGATACAAATTAAAGTTCTTAGGTAAATACGACAAAATATTTTAAAATATAAAATATGTAAATTTTAAATAAAATAAAATAATTTTTTTGTCTAAATTGAGAGAGTTTTATCGGTCAATTAAATGTTATATCGGGTTTTTAATCCGTTGTAATTATTTCAATTAAAAAAATTTAACTATTACAATAATATTCTTTTTATCTATAAACATAATAAATTCATCGAGAATTATCATAATTTAGTCACTACACCCGTACTAAAGACTAAATAATTTGTTATATGCTCCAATATTTGGCCCGATAAATAAGAGAAGATACATTGGGCTATAGAGGAATTAGCCCATATATCAAGTTGGGCTATTCACAGTCTGGCTCTAACCTTGTGTTTTTATAATACTTCATTTTTATATTGATTTCAATGTTGTTTCACATAATCATATTAATTAAAATACAATGTATACACCCGTAGTATGCCGACTAATAGTAAAATTATAGATAATAAAATTATCAATTAATAAAACCTCAATTGATCCGTTTTTGTATCAATCTAATTATTATATTTTAAAATACAAGAATCTCGAGTAATCATACTCAAACTTTTAGCAAATCGGATAATCTAAATTACGTATATATCGCATGACATATTAAGATTATATTCGTGCAGAATAATAGTGAAAATGTAAATTGACATTTCAACTATTAATTCACTATTCTTTAACTATAGTAAATTATGTTATTGCAGTAAATGACAATAAAATGTATTTTGGAGTTTTATGTATTTTTAAAAAAAATACCCAAATAACATTAATTAGAAAACGAGTACATTAATATGCGAAAGGTAAATTTTGCCAAAATATGAAAATTTTAACATAAGTGGACAAGTCTAACTAATTCGTGTGTCACCCGATTACAATTTTTCCTAACCCATGTAATATCTACTTTTGTTAATCGTGTTAGCAAGACACAACAGGCATCTATGATAGATCCAAATTAGGAGTGATCCACCTCATTCGATGTCAAAGCTTTTTGTACTAGTTGAGAATCCACTTATACTGTCCCTAGTCTTTTAAACATTAGATACAATGTGGAGCAAGGTTTTTTCTCTAGTTAATTATGTATGAACATGCTTTTTTAAAAGTTTGATAGAAATTATTGTAGTGCGCCAATCTCATTCATCCTCTATTTATTGAGGTATAAATATTGTAATAACTGATAAGAAAATATATATATATAAAGGAACAAATAAATAAATAAAATAATAGAGAGAGAGAAGAGTGAAATGGACGGTATAGATTAGATTAGGAGAAAAGAAAGGGACGGCTGAGATGAGCCTCAAGGTAAGTATAAATAGGTTGAGAAAATAAAAAAAAAAAGAAAAAGAAAAGAAAAAGAGAGAAAGAGGAGAGGAGAGAGGTCGAGGGAGATACAGGGGAGAAGTGAAGGACACGACGAGGGAGAATGAAATCACAGGGAGAATTCGGAGGACTGGAGGAGTTGAGTGAGTTATGGCTGAGGGAAAGGAAATGGAGGCAAGAGGTAAGGGAATTTAGGGTTTCTGAGGAGCGGTGCAAATGAGGTGATTAAGACGAGTGTGGATTCAATAATCTTTATTGTGATGAGGTTTGATATAGGTAGAGTAGAAGTGGTCGGGTGAGAGTATAAGTTGAGTGGAAGTTGTGTAGGCTAGGGCAAGGTCATAGGATCCGAGTAGACGAGGCAGATTGAGTGTTCTGGAGCAAGGAAGAAGTTGTAATAAGGTCGGTGTGTGTGGGTGGCCATTACAGGCCGCGTGTGACTGTGTAAACGAGCGGCTTAGGTTGACGTCTGGTATATACGCATAGGGTAGACACTGGCCGGGGATTATAAGTATTGAGTGGTTGAATGTAGGTGGTTTGGTGTGTGTGTGTGTGTGTGTGTGGCTCCCGAAGAGTCATGACGCGGTCCGTGTGCATGTGTGGCCATTACAGGCCTAGTGTGACAATGTAAGTGAACATTGCAGTGTGGCATCTGGTGTGTGCGTGTGTGGCAGAGACTGGCCAAGCATGGTAGGGACTGAGTAAGTGAGTTTATGTGATATGGTGTGTGTGTGAGTATGCGTGGCCCCTATGGTTGTGTTAGTAGGTTGGGTGTTGAATAGGTAGAGGGCCTTCACTGGCCGAGAGTTATGTAGGAGGAAGTCGTGTTGTATGGTACCTCGTGTGTAGGGGTGGCATGTACATGCCGTTGGTGGTTGTTGAGATAAAGGTGGACTAGGTGTGTGTGATCTTTTTAGGCTGGGCAATTGCTGATGTTGGTGTGGGCGGAGGTGTGTAGGTGGGGTGGAGGTATGTAGGTGGGGTTTTTACAGGTCGTTGTCCCAGGGTGATTAAGGAATAACTGACTGAGTTATTTGTGTGGGTGGCCTCTTCAGACCAAAAGAGTGGAAGGGGTAGATGTCTGGTCGGTAAGAACTAATTGGTTCCGATACTGAGGTTAAGTAGTGGACATAGGTGAACTGTGAGTGTGTCGTCTTCAAGACTGTAGCTACGAGTGTGGGGTGTGGGAGTATTTCGGTTGTTAGTAGGAGTAAGCAGTAGGTACAATTGAGTAGTTATAGTAACAAATTTCGAGGGAAGTGGCCATCTTAGGGTAGAGATGAGAGAATTGATAGGTGGGAGTGAGGGTCTAAGTGAGAGGTGTTGGGGTGAGAAATTTCTTGATTTTCATACTATAGTCTTAAGTTTTATATTTTTTTACTAGGCTTATTAATGTTCATTACTATTGTTTTCAGATGTGTTAGATTCAAAGTCAAAATCGGAAGGCATAGCGATGGAGCCCCACATTTAAGGAAGAGACACACGCTAGTATAGGATGCTTGTTTGATACACATGAGTGCACACACTGTATCAACCTTGAGATTATAATTATTGTAACATCGAACTGTATGAATTGACCATGTACTCTCTATAAATTTAATTGAAAGGAAGTGATTGGTACTTTTAAAGAATGAAATGATACATATTTGTAGCATGATGGAGAATGTTCTCGAATTGAAATGATAAGTGGTGGTAATGTTCCATCTTCAGGACGGTGCGTTACAAATATTCTTTCCCAAATAGTTTATACTAAATAATACATTTTGACGTATTAATTTATTAACAACTATCAATTACACATGACAAAATAAAAATTACAAATAAAAATTGGTATTATAGATCAATATATAACAAATAGTTATAATACTTTCACTCAAATTTTAAATATTATATTGTTTTTACCTAAAATTTATAATAAAATCATTATATATTATGGATGGTGCTAATTTACATATGATAATAATGGGTCAAAGGAAAATACCCCCTTTAGTTTTAATTATTGTTGAAATGTATGCTTATTATACATGTGTTTTCAAACTTTACATCATGATGGATTATCTTCCAATCAAAATTTATGTTTTTGCTCAATTTTTTCTCATATATATATATATATATCTATAGCTTTTTTTTTTCTCTTTTCTTTTTAGGAAAAAATAAATTAAGTACATTAAGTCACTTTTAATTATAAAATACTATTAATTTGAATCAAATATTCACATGGGTAAAGTAGATACATTGCATTTTGATCGTTCTATTTCTGAATTGAATTACATATAACTTATTAATTAGTGATTTTATAACAAAAATAATTACTTATTTTGCTAAAATAATATTGAAATAACTTTATATTTTAAAATTTATTATAAAAATAAAATATTAAGAAAAAAAATTGAAAATTAGTTTCCTGTTTTGGAGGAGATAATATAAATTCCGAAAATTAACGACAAGTAAAATCCATCTGGTTTGATTTTTCCTAACCAAAATAGGAATCCACTTGACCGCAAAAACTCCCCCAGTTTCCTTTATCTTTTCCCCCGCGGGTCCCACATGTCAATTCTCAATTCTCTCGAACCCGTAGGAGTCAACGCATCGGACGGCTGGAGTCGCCACCTTTGACCGTTACAACCGTTGATTGACTCAACCTCAAGCGGCCTTGGAAATTTCTCTATTTCAATTTAGAATTGCAGGTGTCGTTATGAACGTCATGGGGCCCCACTTAAAACGCGATTCAGAGCCGATTTTTCCCATTTTTTTAAATTCTGCAACTCTCTCTTCACCGTCAGATCACTCGACTCTCGCCTTGAAAACGAAATCCGACGGTCAAAACTTTCCGGAGAAAAGACAACACGTCTGGTGCTGGGTCCCGTCTTCTTTAACTGCATTTTCTTTCTCCCCGAGAAAAGAATTCAAAATTTAGAGAAAAATAAAATAAAACAATAATGTTACGGATATTTCTTTGAACCAGTATCTATACACACACACAGATATAAATGTATATACACACATATACGCACACACTATACAGATTCTTGTTTTTGCTTCATATTTTCCTTTTCTCTTTTCTTCTTTTTGTATTTTTCCTAATTTATCTGGACTTAATTCCTTGATTTTAGTCTTTTCTTTTTCTTCCGTTCCCTGGTTGGTGGAGACAAAGGAAAGATCTGATTTGCTTTATACTTTCTCTGGTTGCTTCTTGCTCCATTTTCCTTTCGTTTTTTTTTCCAAAGAGCAAGATAATACTGTGGTTCTAGAACACGAGAAGAGAAGAGTACTCCCTCATTTTTTACATCAATGGTGTGGAGAAGACTGGGATCCCTTTTTTCTTTTTTCAAGTCTCGCGATGGTTCTCAGGTTTGTCGCTTGCAGTTCTTTTACAGATTTATCGGGTTTAATTATTGTTGTTATAAAATCTGGAGTTTTTAATTAACAGATTATTGAGTTAACCATTTACTTATTTTTTTCCCTGGGTAAGATTTTTAGCAGATTATAAACAGTAGCCGTGTTGTTAATTAGCATCTGATGGTGAATTGGGTAAAATGTAATTAAAAATTCTAATTTATCAACGGGAATTTTAGATGATTAGAGCTTAAATTGGATTGTGATAATTATTTTTATTATCACGTTATTTACCACTAAAACCAGAATACTTTACGTGTACTTAGTGCTCCGCATGACGGAAACACTTGGATTGGAGTCCATTAATCATTCATTTAATTTTCTGTTGAGATGGTAGTTGGGGTCTAAATATATAAGGCCATAGGTGGTTTCCCATCAATCTGATGTTCATGTCTCTCACCAACTTATGAGAAAATGGAAAGGGTAATATATATATCTGTGTGTGTGTACATATATATATATATATATTTGTGAGCCGTAAGGGAAGCCATTTTGTTTCATTTTGAGTGATATACACATCCAAGTTTGGTATTTCAAGTTTGGTTAGTTCATATATGTTCTTTAGTATAAAGTCTGTTTTTAGAGGGAATAGTTTGTCCGGATCTTGCATGTGTTATTATGAGGCTTGGTATAAAGCTTATAATCTTGATTAACCAGGAAATCAAGGGGAAATTTCCTTTAAAGAAGAAGTAATTTATAACCCTGTGATGTTCATTAGTGCCTGTTAATTAGTAATCAAGAAGTAATCTTGATTTTGCCTGTCTGCATGCTCTTCCTTTTCCTTTTCAATTTGAAGTTAAAAGTTATTGGATTGCAAGTTCAACTGTCTGATATATTTCTGTGTCTGCAGCAGCAGCAGAGAAGAATGATGGAAGTAGAGCTCGGCGCGCACACTATCAAGAGTCATGGAGGAAGACTTGCTTGGGATCACAAGCATGATTGGCTCATACTGCTGCTGCTTATTGTGATTGAGATTATTCTATTTATCATTCATCCATTTCGCCGTTTTGTTGGAAAAGATATGATGACAGACCTCAGATATCCCTTGAAGGACAATACCGTTCCTGTTTGGGCCGTGCCAGTGAGTTTCTATTTTGTGTAAAACACAATAACCAGTTTTAATTATAATCATCTGATTTCGAAGTTTGGAAATTTATCGGAATTTTTCCCTTTTTCTGGTCAGATCTATGCAGTTTTGTTGCCTATTGCCATCTTCATTTGTGTCTATTTCCGTAGAAGAGATGTCTATGATCTGCACCATGCTGTGCTAGGTAAATAAGGTTTTGTGGTCAAATATTTTTCTTATACTCAATGTTTTTTTTGGTGTTATGCAAAGAAAACTAGATTTATGGAATGATTAAACTGTCCTTTTCACGAGCAGGCCTCTTATTCTCTGTGCTGATCACTGGAGTTATTACTGATTCATTAAAAAATGCAACCGGCAGACCAAGGCCAGACTTCTTCTGGCGTTGCTTCCCTGATGGAAAAGATGTATGCCCTCTTTTTTTTTTCACTGGTTCTCCTTTGTGCATTTTTCTTTACTCTGCAATACCAATATCATAAGTAATCCAAATTGGTTCCGAATTTTCATAATTTGTCATATTGTTAGAGTTTAAATCTCATAATTTATTTTCTTCTGAAATTTGGGTATTTCTCAAACTGCTCCTTGATGATTGTTAATGTTCTTTTTGGCCTTGCTTTCAGAAATATGATGAGTTTGGCGGTGTAATATGCCATGGTCTGGCTAGCGTTATAAAGGAGGGGCATAAAAGTTTCCCAAGTGGTCATTCTTCATGTAAGCTACATTCTCAAATGCTGCTTCTTGTAAACTGAATGGCCTATGTAAAATTTGTATCTAATATATATAAAATGGGATTGGTTTTGCAGGGTCCTTTGCAGGACTAGGTTTTCTTTCATTTTACTTGTCTGGAAAAATCCAAGCCTTTGATCGCAGAGGGCATGTAGCCAAACTCTGTATTGTTTTCCTACCTCTGCTTGCTGCTTCTCTCGTTGCCATTTCTCGAGTCGATGACTACTGGCACCATTGGCAAGATGTGTTTACTGGTGGTATTTTAGGTCTGTTCTTGTCAACCACTTAATCATGAAAAGAAAACACTTAAAACCTAGAAATTTTTTTGAAAATTAATATGTAAATTGAAACTTTGTTCAACTAGAAATACGATAAATTTTATTAAAAGAAGATAAAAAGTAATCTCGTATGAAATTTTGTTAATGTTTTCTACCAGTGCATCAATTTTTAGTTATAGTGAATGTATATTTGCAAATGAATTCTACAAATTTTCTAAATTTATTCCAAACATAACCTTAAGAACAGTTGCATACTTGCATTCAATATTTGTCATGTACTAATATATGAAATATCTATGCACTTGCAGGCCTAGTTGTTGCAGCTTTTTGCTACAGGCAATTCTTCCCGAACCCATATGAAGATGATGGTAACACGGCCACTTTTTCTCTTTTCTTTTCATCAAAAGTCTATTGAGATTTACTTCATAAAAACACTACATGTTTCACATATCCCGCATATAATCATCAGTAAAATCACCATGTGAAAGAGTTAGTCTTAATACCAAATGAAATAAAGGAGTCCTGACCTATCCCAAGTTGGGACCATAATTAGCAAATAAGGTGTTTGTTACAACTAGAGATGAGGACTGGTAGGTAGGATTGGAGTTTCAGGTCTATTAGTTTTAGGTTTTTCCATTCTGGGTCACTTAAGTCATTATTAGGTAATCTAATTCTCAAGTCGGTAAAATTCTGAATCACTATATGTTAGTCTTGATCATTTTTGACATGTGGTTGTATCCTATTGAACTTTAAGGATTTCTTTTTAGAATTTCAACTTATTTACTAAGAAGATGTAATGTCTATTTGCCTTTTGTACGATAAAATTATAACTGGAGATGTTTCATGTAATTCCGACTCAGGTTGGGGGCCTTATGCATACTTCAGAGCAGTGGAGGACTTGCGTGCTAATTCGACCTCTGGGCAGCAAATGAGTGCAGTGACAGCGCAGGCAATGGAGGCTCAGGTTATGACTCAACGTGCCAGAGAAAATGGAGATGCCCTCCAATATCAAGTCTAGATGCTCTATGGAATGATATTATTTTGTAGATAGATTGATAGATAAATTGTGAACGTAATTTGTGTTCCACTTTTTTTCAGGAGGGAGTTGTGTAGCTAATGACTGTTTCGTTGTTATATCTATAGGTTTATTGTTAGTATTACAGAAATTAATGTTTAAAGTTCAGCTTTACTTAATTTCTAAAAGATTTACTTAGAAATGTGGATACTAGTTATAATTTTGTATTTTGTTTAAAATAATGATTTGATATTTATACTATTTACTTTTAATTAAACTAGTTTGTATATTTTTAAATTTTTTTGATTTACTTTTATTTGTTAATATTATTAATTTAGTTGTCACGTATTGAATTTATTGACATATGATGTCTTCTAATTGGTTCGGCATTAAACATCAATGGCGACGAGATCAGCCCCATCACGTCTCATTGAGGCCTCAGGCAAGGACACCCCTTTTGTTCCCTTACCTCTTTATTATGTATGCTGTTCGGAAAAGTTGAAATGATTGGAAAAATCTATGGAATCCGAATTTACCAACAAAGTCCACACTTATTATTCGTTGATGATTCATTCTTCTTTTTTCGAGCCAATGCTGAGAAATGTACTATTGTCAAGCAAATCCTTACTCAATACGAGTTTGCATTAGGTCAGATCGTTAACTTCCGCAAATAGAGAACTTATTTTAGTGTCAATACCGCACTAAAACTTCAAGTTTTTCTGAATGATATTATGGGGGTGCATAATAGCGTAGATCACGATAAATACTTAGATCTGTCGCCGTTAGTTGGTTGGAGCAAACGAAGTATTTTTACATGCTTTCAAATGAGATTGTATAAAGTTAGATAATTAACTTTTGCAAATCGAGAACTTATTTTAACATTAATATTGCACTAGAATTTTAAGTTTTTCTGAATGATATTATGGGGGTGCATAACAGTGTAGATCATAGTAAATACTTAGAACTGACGTTTTTAGTTGGTCAGAGCAAACACAGTATTTTTATATTCTTTCGAACCATTTTAAGCAAACGCCTTTAAGGTTGAAGTAATGTGGTAGCTCACTGTATCGTACGTGCTTCATGTGATCATCCTGAATTTCATGTATGGGAAAGCCTCTCACCCACTATAGCTGTACTGATTATTTAAACATTAATGAAATGATTATTCTGAAAAAACATTAGATGCAAATTAATTTGAATTGTTTTATTTTTTTTTAAAAGCTCCACATCTTATATTCTTTTATCTTTTCATCTTCTCCTTATCGATTTTTTGTCAATCTACCCACCATTTCTTTCTCTCATAGGTTATGACACCCTCTAGATCATCATTAAGCCTTAGCCTTAAGCCCCGCCTTCTTTCCCTCATTCCCCCTTTGGTCGTTTTCCTCCTCAAGATGGCATCCTTCTCAACTGAATCCAACAAATCATTTTTTTCCTAATAAAATGATGTTGTTTCGAAGGAACTACTTGGGATTTGTCTTAATTTTGGATTAAAAAAACTTTGTGAGAAAAAGGAGGGAGGGCCTCTATGAATGAATCTCTCTCGGGATTGGGTTTAGAGAATGAGGGATAGATCTCTGTAGTGGAGCGTGTTAGGAGAGAAAAAGATTGTAGAAGCAATTAAGAGAAGAAGAAGAGATTGCAAGGAAAGAGATGCGCGAGGAGGAGATAGTAAAGGATCATGCCAATAAGTTTACAGTGAGAAACAAAGAATTGATAGGTTTTATTAACCACTATAAATTTGTTAAATCGTAAATTGGATGAGTCGTTAGTCTTGGTAGTTTTTAATTTTTGAATCAGATTAACCTGATTAACATTTAATTTATTAATATTATATCAGATGTTATGCGATATTTAACGTGACAATCAACTAACATTCAGATCAATTAAAAAGTTTCACATATTAATATATTTGTGATATATATTTTTGATTATATTATTTATATTATAGTTTTATTTATAAATAACTTATTGAACTTTTGACATTTTAATTTCACAAGTTCTCTAAAATATGTAACTTACCAAACAATTTTTTTTTTTAAATATTTTTAGTTTATTGGGGATTAAAAAAAAAAAATGCCTTGTTGCCACTTGGCATTTCCTTTCACATAAACCTTAAGACTAAAGAGCAAAAGAGAATAAGAGATGTAGTGAAAACAAGTAAAGAATATAATCAATATTTTAGAAAAAAAAAAAGGTTAATATTCAGAATATTCTAAAAGTATTTTAATATAAACATTAAATTTAGTTTAATTCCTCGTGTTTTGAGATTTTTTAATTTAAATTTTGATTATTTTTTAATTAAAAATTATTATTTCGTACCTCAAACATTAGTCAATAAAATTTTTTAAAAAATCAAAATTTATTTTAACTTATAAATATTAATTTACAAACATTACTTTAATTTAATTTTAGGTCAAATTATTTTTTTATTTAATTAAAAAATAAATATAAATTAAATCCTCTAAAAATATTATATATATATATTTTTTTATTTGTTAAAAAATATCATTTTCAAAATTCAAATTTTGACCTAATTTCGTTGGCTTCTCTGCCAACAAATCCAATATAACCAACCCTCCCTGTCTTGTCCCCATCGCCTTCCTTGACTTCGAAGTGTTTTTAAGTCTTAATATAAAAAAAAAATTAATCCCAAATAACCAAGAAAAGTAAATTAATTATAATTATAAATTAATTAATTTAGTTTTAAATATTACTTATTTATTTATTTTTATTTAAATAATTACATAATGCTTAAATATTTAAAAAATAGTTCAAAAAAGAATTTTAATAAATAAATAATAATAATAAATATTTACTTAATAATAATATTAATTTAACTGATTAATTACAATTAATTTTTTATTAAAAAACAAAAAGAGGTTTTACGCGCTTTTTCATTTCGGGGAAGTCGTGGAGTATATTTTGTTCTCTTCTTTCTTTTTATTCACTGTCAGAAACTCATCGGGGAATACCACCACGCCTTTTTGTTTCTTCGCCTTCAAAATCCAACCGCAGATTCCAAAAAGGTCAGTTCCCTTCCTTCTTCTTCAACCTTTGATTATTCCTAATTGCTTGATTTTCTGCTTTCCTTTTCTCTCGTTGTTCAACTGGTTCTCTTATGGATCCGCTACTGCTAGTTTGTGCTGCTTATTCTCCCTTGCTTTCTCTGTTCTGTTTGATGTTAATATATGTGATAGGGGATGCGTGCATGTGCCGTGTAGTCCGGGAGTGAATTTTGATTATTGGCGTGATGTTTTGGTTTCTAGTTTTCTGTTTGGTTCCCGAGAAAGGGAATAAGACGATAAATAATGGAAGAAAAAGTTGTCGGAGAAGAAGAGTGAGAATTGACTGGACTTCAACTATTCTTGTTAGTAAAACCGTCTTCATCCGGAGATTTGACTTATTTCCCTCTCTTTCTTGGCTCCCGAGACGGACAACGGAGAACTCTTGCCTTCTGTTTGGATGATAGTAAAATGTGGTTAATTAACGTAGGGTACAATAGTATAATGAAAAAATTATTTGTTTGCTAATGGTACGATTACTTTAGGGTTTTTTTACGGTATTCTAAAATCAAAATTTGAGTAATTTTTTAAAACTACCGATTTACGGGGTAACATTTTCGTTACATTTATACCCTCATTAAATTTTTATAATTTCTACTTTACCCTCGAAAAAATCTTTCTCGGTAGCCTAACCTACTTTTTTTTTTCTCTTCTTCTCAATCTATTTCTTTTTATATTTTCTTAATTTATAATTATAAATTAAAAATTATAATTTTAAACTATTTTTTTATACTAACTATAAAAATTAAAATTTCATTCGTCATAATAAATTTATTTTTTAATATTTTAAGAAAAAATTCAATAAAAATTACAGTTTAAATAATTTTTCAAATTAAATAATTTATTTACATTTTAAATAAATATATATTTTTTTTCATTTAATATTACATACATTAAGACATGAACAATTTGTTAATTTGACTTAATATACAATTATATCAACCTATCAATCCAAACAAAACAGCTATCATTATCATATATTAATATACCGTCTTCTTAAACATGTCATAATCTATCAATTACCATCCTACACACTTACCATACATTACTTTATATTAATGAATCATCACAAAAATCATTCAACCTGAGCATTGAAGGTAGTCTAATTTTTATAGGCAAAGCACGTTAAATTTTGCAGTGGAACAATTCAATTGTTCTAAATGTTGTCTTCATCTAGAAGAAGATAAATGGAATTTTGGCCTCTTAGTCACAGTTAGGTCAGTTTCGGGTTTCTGAAATTTGAACGTGTACTAAAAATGTGCTGAGCCTGCAACTTTAAGTGTTTTGACAGTTTTGTGCTAAATAATATTGAGGATCATTTGATTTCTCTTTTGTACTCCATAGGGTCCTTTCTTTTTCTATTTTTTCCTTACTTTTTCTTTTTTCTGCCTTTTGGAGATTCCAGGATCCTCATTGGAAACCTAAAGTTTGCTATATTTGTGTTTGTTACCCATCTTAGGTTATTGCTAGCCGGTATGGTGATTTTTTTATCTTGTAAATTTGAGCCGTTGGGGAATTATACTGGATTTTGATGGTTTTTAAAACTCATAGCTGCCATGTCAAAACTTTCATTTGAAACTTATGAGAATGTGAATTTTGTTGGTCACCTGCCAGAGTGTAGATGCTTTGAAAATTGTCAATCTAATTGTTCTTACTTGTAAGACTTGTAATTAGGTGTTTGGCATGTGTGATGTATTGGCTGACATGTATCCGCATGCCTATCCAGAAATTCAGCGGTTAATGTCTTAATTGAGAATTTGAGGGATGAGAATTCAGAAAAACACAAAAGCTCATGTTTTCTTCTAGATGAGTATTTGTGTATTTGGTAGAGAGTTAGTATCCAAAATTACCTTTGACACAGAAACATTTTGCCTATATGAACAGGAGTTTCTTTGGAAAACTCCTCTTCCTGAGATGACCGTGATCTAAGTTGTGTCAGAACCATGCTTGCTTTTGATCCTGGACTTGCTTCTATGACCATTTATGCTTCTGGCCTGATTACTTGTGATTTAATGCACTTCTAGGACTACCATTGATTTAAGTTGTAGTATCCCCAGCTTGCCATACCTGATATATTTAGAGCTATAAGATCTTTCGGTACCTTTCTTCATACTAAGGCCTAGCCCTCTTCTTGGAAAGCTGATATGAAGGAAAGGATGGCTGAAGACATGTGGGATAAAGGCTTGCTCGGAAGGTTTTACATTGTGTGCTAATGTAATAAATTATCACTTCTGGTCATGGCTAACCTTCATCTGTTTTCTGTCTTGAAAGATTGGCCTTTTCTTTTCTTGTATCTGGCTTTAATTATGATATCTATTTTCAGTTTTCTTCATTTCTTAGCTTTACTGAGATCCACTAACATTTTCCTTTGTTGTTGAATTAGTGTAAAATGCCGGAGATTCAGCTGGGAATTCATACTGTGAGATCCCATGGAGTTAAAGTGGCAAGGATACACATGCATGACTGGCTGATTCTTTTGCTTCTGATCGTGATTGTGGTTGTTTTAAATGTTATTGAGCCATTTCATCGTTTTGTTGGAGAGGATATGATGACTGACCTGAAATATCCTTTAAAGGACAATACTGTTCCGTTTTGGGCTGTAGGAGTATGTACTATCTTTGAGAAAATATTATGCAATAAAATTTCCTGCTTGTAGAGTTTTGATTGGATCCAATTTTGGAGGATAATGTTTTTATTTGTTGCTGTAACAGCTGATTGCAATTGTGCTTCCCATGATTGTCATTTTTGTTTACTACTTCGTCAGAAAGGACGTCTACGACCTGCACCATGCCATATTGGGTACTACTATTCCCCTCTTCATCTGAAGTCTGGCACCTCGTACTTTTGTGTTATTGTTAATGACTGTTATCTTTTCACCCAGGGCTTCTATTTTCTGTTCTTATTACTGCTGTTATAACTGAAGCTATAAAAGATGCTGTTGGACGGCCTCGTCCGGACTTCTTTTGGCGCTGTTTCCCTGATGGCAAAGGGGTGGATTCTCCATCTCATTGAATTATCTGTTTCCTTTACAACAATCTTTAGAATCATAGTCTGTATATCTTAGTTCTGTACTCCATTGACATGCAGATGATGTCATTTGCAGGTGTTTGATCCGGTAACAAAGGATGTTATGTGTACTGGCATAAAGAGTGTTATTAAGGAAGGGCATAAAAGTTTCCCAAGTGGGCATACTTCTGGTAAGTAGGCTAATTAGTTCATAGGTTATTTTCTTGGGAATCAAGTTTTTTTTCCCTTCTTTTATTTGATGTTATTTTCATCATCAGACATGCCATCAGGCACCAAGGATAAGTTTTTCTTGATTGAACTAGAATAAACTGTTGGTGATCAGGTGATGTGTCTTGGAAGGTTATAAATCTAACATATATTACTGTTATAATCTGAATTTACGTTTTCTTTTCTTTCAAATCTTTTGGACTTCTATTTTAGTAAGAGCAATTTTTATATTCTTGTGCCTAAAAAGGAAGTAATTGTTTTTATTCAACAAGAGGTTTGTTTTTATTCCTGTGCATTGAAACTAACCAGCAACTTAGGTACTTCACTCTGAGACATTCAGTTTTTTTTTTTTTTGGCAGGGTTTGACTAATCTTTTGTATGTTTTCAATTTGTATCACTTGTTCTCAGTTCATTGTAAAACAAGAAATGTGGCTAAGAGGAATTTTTTTGTCAACGTGCAGGGTCCTTTGCAGGTCTTGGTTTTCTTGCATGGTACTTGTCTGGAAAAATCAGGGCATTTGACCGTAGAGGTCATGTTGCAAAGCTATGTATTATTTTTTTGCCATTACTTGTTGCAGCCTTGGTAGGAATTTCTCGAGTGGATGATTACTGGCATCACTGGCAAGATGTTTTTGGTGGTGGTCTAATAGGTCCGTCATTGATGACTTCATATCACTAATCGTTTTTGCTGAATTGGCTATTTCTCACAACTAAATGCTCTGCACTTTATTTGTTACCTTTATCATACAGGATTGACAGTTGCTTCATTTTGTTACTTGCAATTCTTCCCACCGCCATATGACACAGACGGTAAGAATCCATTCTTCCTTCATGTTTGCTATAAGTTTTCAAGCTATTTTAAAATTGCACAGATAAAACTTATTGTAAAATCAGCTCTAAACTTTGCTCTCAAGGGAGAGGCCACGAACATTTTGCAAGGTCAACTAAGGTTGTTGATGTGTTTCTGTATCCAGTGCGCTTCTTATTATTCTAATTTTATCTCTTCATATATGTATCACACTTGTGCGTTAGACCATGTTTCCTCAGAGGCACCATCTCTCCATATAATTTTTTAGTATTTCATGGTAAGTCACAAATCCTGTTTAAAAATCACTTAATACTGTGATTTTTAAAAATCAATTAATATAACGACTTACTGAATTATTATCATTCAAAATTTATAATGGAAGCACCAAGTACATGATAGCTTTTTCCTTAATTCCAACCCGATACTAGGACTAATTTCAGAGAGTGGTCTGCACTTGTTATATCTTGTTTATCTTTATCAATGTGTGGTTAATTTGGCTGCTCGCTACAATTTTCTAGTGCTCCCAAACTCCGGAAAGCTCACTGGCCCATCCATTAAGGAGCATAAAGAAAATGTTACAGTATATTTTTCTTTTGTTCAAATGCTTTCTAAAACCACTGATGTGTTGTTTCCAAACCTTCTGATTTGTACAGGTTGGGGGCCGCATGCATATTTTCAGATGCTGGCAGAATCTAGAAATAGCATCCAATCATCAACCACTGCCGACAATCTTAATGTGCAGCAGATGGAGCTCGAGACTGTATACGTTGAATCTCACCACCATATGCAAAATTCAAGATTCAATGCTCGCGATACAAGCCCAATTCTGAATGGATCAGAAAATGAAAGGTGACGCTGAGATTAGGCATCGAGTTTAGATGTAGATCACACTCTTTAGTTGTCCATAGGTCAGAGTCATTTCTCTGTTTGATAATGTCCATAGTTGAACTTCATGTTTGAATCGATGCTTGAACCATTCATCTTTTATATCAGATTCATTTGATTGATTTTTAAGTCTCTTGTGTGTTCCGACTTCTTTTATCTGGGCGTCGTTTAGCTCTGCTTTCGCCATCTATTGACTCTGAGTTCTATCATGGTTTCTTGGGGGCAGTATGTTTTTTGATATTTCTAACAGTTAATAGTGATTCAACAACTTTATGCGTAGCAATTATTTAATTTATATATTCATTGAGTTGAACCTGAAGTTATTAGATTAAGATGTGCTGTGATAGAAAGCATTATAGTAAGTTCAAACTTACAGCATTCATAGGAGGGAGGCGCCGACCTTTTAACCATTAGGTACTGGTAATTTATGTTGTGGCTTGATGTTTACAGTAACGTTGTCCTAGAAAATTACCATATAGACAAAGTTAGATTTTTCCTTTTGACTGTACCTGGGTTCAGAAGCCTTTTACAAAATTGTCTTTGACTGGCAGAACAGGGGAACTCATTTTGTTGCACATCCAACGGACATGAAATGAAAAAGTGCCACATTATTGCAGTCACTTGAGCATCAAGAAATTTAGCTGCCACATTTCTGAGGCTATATTTCCCTTTTAGATGTATGGTATATATAGCATCCAGAATTATATATATAAGATTTACAATTAAATTTTGCGTGAAAATTATAACTTTGAATATCGGTGATAATGTAGCACTCGTTATTTTGTGGTTATAGTATAAATTGATAATAATTAATTTTTAATCTTATTTAATAAGATTTACAATTTTACTTACTAGTATATTAGTAGGATCGTCGATTGTGATGAATCAATCGAGATAAGTTGTTTTAATGCTCATTCAACGGAATATGAAATGAAAAATTGACATTATTTTAGTCACTTGAAGAATATACAAAAGTTTAGTTCCCTTATTTTTGAGAGGTCATTGCTTTTTTAGATACATGGTATATATAACACCCAAAATTATATATATATATATAACTACAATTAAATTTTATATAAAAGTTACAAGTTTGAATTTATGTAGGATTAATAACTTTACGCATTAGTGTATTAATAGGGTTATCGATTGTGATAATCAAGTTGAGATAAGTTTTAATAAATGTATTGCGTTTGAAGTCAAAATAAATATTTTGTGTTAAATAAATTTTTTTATTTATTAAAATAGTTATAATTGATTAAAAAATTTAATATAATATTTTACACATAAGTAAATAAATTTTATATATCTCGGTTTTAAGTAGAATTTGAATAATATTATAAATAATTGAAGATGGAATATTATTGTAGGGAAGTCTTTTGTTATCTTTTGCCTTTTTAACTTTTTGTTGAAAACAATTTCTTTTTGAATTTATATCCTCAATTATGAAGTCAATTAATACCAAATCTTGTTTTGTTTTCTGCTGACCGGCAAGTTATTCCACAAACCATTCAAGAGAAGAAAAAAAAAAAACCTTAAAGTTCCCTTTGTGATAAGAGTTAGTCTCTTCTTATTAATATATAGTTCTTCATAAATTGTTCTGTTTTCATGTACTTTGGACAGATCTATTTATGGGGTATATATATATATATATATAGCAATAGAGATAAATGGGAGACATACAGCATGATGGGGGGGAACTTGATTCTATCATGCTATGCTATGGGCTCATTATGACATACATACCCAC